AAAAAGTTAGCCTTTACTTTCCTGACTGCTTGTGTATATTGGTTCCTAACTTCCCTGAAAAGTTGCATATCGCGGGGGCTATTTGATGCTAATGCAGTACGCCACAGGATGTTTTTGTGCTGGTCAAGGGCAGTCAAGTCTGAGGAGAACCAGGGGCTATATCTGTTCTTGGTTCTGTATTTTTTGAATGGGGCATGTTTATTTAAGATTGAGAGGAAATTACTTTTAAAGAACAACCAGGCATCCTCTACTGACGGAATGAGATCTATATCCATCCAGGATACCTGGGCCAGGTCAATTAGGAAGGCCTGCTCGCTAAAGTGTTTTAGGGAGCGTTTGACAGTGATGAGGGGTGGTCGTTTGACCGCGGACCCGTTACGGACGCAGGCAATAAGGCAGTGATCGCTGAGATCCTGGTTGAAGACAGCGGAGGTGTATTTAGAGGGTAAGTTAGTCAGGATGATATCTATGAGGGTACCCATGTTTACGGATTTAGGGTTGTACCTGGTAGGTTCGTTGATAATTTGTGTGAGATTGAGGGCATCTAGTTTGGATTGTAGGATGGCCGGGGTGTTAAGCATATCCCAATTTAGGTCACCAAGCAGTACGAACTCTGAGGATAAATGGGGGGCAATCAATTCACATATGGTGTCCAGGGCACAGCTGGGGGCTGAGGGGGGTCTGTAGCAAGCGGCAACAGTGAAATACTTATTTCTGGAAAGGTGGATTTTTAGAAGTAGAAGCTCAAACTGTTTGGGCACAGACCTGGATAGTATGATAGAGCTCTGCAGGCTATCTCTACAGTAGATTGCAACTCCACCCCCTTTGGCAGTTCTATCTAGACGGAAAATGTTATAGTTGGGGATGGAAATTTCAGAATTTTTGGTGGCCTTCCTAAGCCAGGATTCAGACACTGCTAGAACATCAGGGTTGGTGGAGTGTGCTAACGCAGTGAATAACTCAAACTTAGGAAGTAGACTTCTGATATTTACGTGCAAGAAACCAAGACTTTTGCGATTACAGAAGTCAGCAAATGATAGCGCCTGGGGAGTAGGAGTGATACTGAGGGCTGCAGGGCATGGGTTAGCCTCTACATCACTAGAGGAACAGAGGAGGACTAGAATAAGGATACGGCTAAAGGCTTTAAGAACTGGTCTTCTAGTGCGTTGGGTACATAGAATAAAGGGGGCAGATTTCCGGGCGTTGTAGAAAAGATTCAGGGCATTATGTACAGACAAGGATATGGAAGGATATGAGTAAAGTGGAGGTAAACCTAAGCGTTGGGTAACAATGAAAGAGATAGCATCACTGGAGGCACCAATTGAGTTGGTCTCTGCGTGTATGGGGGGTGGGACAAAGGAGCTATCTAAGGCAGGTTTAGCTGGGCTGGGGGATCTACAGTGAAATAGTACAATTAGAAATAACCGAAACAACAATAAGCTAACCATATTGACAAGGGAGAGAGGCATAAAGCAATCACAGGTGTAATTTGAGAGATCTAAGACAACAGCTGGTAATGACGACACAGTTTGGGCTGAGGCTAAACATAAACAGGATGCAGTACCGTAAAAAGGAACAGTCCAGCAGACATCAGCTGTATAGCTGAGTTATCATAAGGTCCGGTGAACAGCAATAGGATAGTTCGGAGGTAGTTCGGGGGCTGCTAAAGCACTAGCGAGCAAGAGGCCACGGCTAGCGTGTGCTAGCGGGCCAGGGCTAGCAGATGGAATCTTCGTGGTCGACGTCGTAACGGGATGCCTGTTGTAACCACATCAGACGATTTCGTCGGCAGACCAGTCGTGTAGGATTGGCGGGGCTCCGTGTCAACACTAGGTGGTCCCGTCCGGTTGACAGCGAGGTAGATAGCCGGGAGATGGGAGATGGGCCTAGCTCAGGATGATTAGCCAGACCACAACGTCCATTTTGTTGCAGCTAGCTGGTAGCGATGAATCTGGAGTTAAAGGTCCAGTGATTCAGTGATTCCGGCAGAAAAACTGATATGTTCTGGGTCGATAACGCGCTGTGCAGACAGTGCAGACTGGCCGAATAATAGTCCAGACTAGAGCTAGCTGGTAGGTGGTGCAGGCCACGGACAATGGTGAAAAACCGCTAACGGTAGCTGATAGCAAGTAGCTAGTTAGCTGGCTACTCCCGTCCGGTAGACCTAGAGGTAGATAGCCGGGATATGAGCCTGGCTCTAGGCTAGCTCGAGGCTAACTGGTGCTTGCATCGGGGGCAGTGGAGATTAGCTAAACAGCAACATCCATTCGGTTGCGGCTAGCTAGTTGCGATCCGGTGGTTAATGTCCAGTGATTAAATTATTCCGGCAGAATAATCCAATGTTCTGGGTGAAATACCGCTAACTGTGGCTAATAGCAAGTAGCTAGTTAGCTGGCTAGCTAGTTTCAACTGGAGATTCTAGATAAAAGGTAAGTCAATAATAGAATCCGTTCCACATTGAGTGAGGCGGGTTGCAGGAACTTATATTTTGTAGAAGGATGAAAAGTCTGATAGGGAAATATGTACGAAAAATAAATAAAAAACAGGGTATTTACAGGCTATTTACAGACACATGACAAAAACAGGACTGCACTACTATGCCATCTTGGATTAAGCCCTGTGGAAGTACTGCTGTAGTAGGCCTGCTCACAGATCTCAGACCTGTCAGCCTGCCTCCTTAGGCATCCTTCATTAGTAGTACAATAGTAATGCCTCCCTCAGCTGAGGATCAAGAAGCTGTTTAGATAAACCAGGAGTCGTCAAATGAGGCCATATTGAGGTAAGATTTGCCTGTAGATTTAGATCTAAGATCAGCTTACCAATTATACTAGCCTAACCTTCGTCATCTGAGGGTTATATGTAAAAATGACCTTGGATCAGCACTTGAGGGCAGATGTGTGGAAAGCTGTCAGAAGAGACTGTAGTGTTTTTTTCAGTGTGAGAGGAGGTCAAGTTAGTTGAAACGCTGCACTTAGCCTACTGTAGGATACTACAGACAGCTGGTGGGTCCTTAGAGCCTTCGGGGAGGGAAGGGTTAATCCTATACACCCCCCCCCCGCTTGCACTACATACATACATACTTTTGTATATATAGTGTATACGTACACTATGTGGACACCCCTTCAAATTTGTGGATTCGTCTATTTCAGCCACACCCGTTTCTGACAGGTGTGTAAAATCGAGCACACTGCCATTGCAATCTAGACAAACATTGGCAGTAGAATGGCCTTACTAAAGAGCTCAGTGACTTTCAACGTGGCACCATCATAGGATGCCACATTTCCAACAAGTCAGTTCAAATTTCTGCCCTGCTAGTGCTGCCCCAGTCAACTGTAAGTGCTGTTATTGTGAAGTGGAAACGTCTAGGAGCAAAAGCTCAGCCGCTTGGTGGTAGGCCACACACGCTCACAGAACGGGACCGGCAAGTGCTTAAGCCCATACTGCATAAAAATCGTCTGTCCTCGGTTGCAACACACTCTACCGAGTTCCAAACTGCCTCTGGAAACAACGTCAGCACAAGAACTGTTCGTCGGGAGCTTCATGAAATGGGTTTCCATGACCGAGCAGCCGCACACAAGACTAAGATCACCATGTGCAATGCCAAGTGTCGGTTAGAGCAGTGGAAACGTGTTCTCTGGAGTGATGAATCACGCTTCACCATCTGGCAGTCTGACTGACTAATCTGGTTTGGCAGATGCCAGGAGAACACCACCTTCCCGACTGCATAGTGCCAACTGTAAAGTTTGGTGGAGGATGAATAATGGTTTTGGGTTGTTTTTCATGGTTCGGGCTAGGCCCCTTAGTTCCATTGAAGGGAAATGTTTTCGCTAGAGGATTCTGTGCTTCCAACTTTTTTGCAACCGCTTGGGGAAGGCCCTTTTCTGTTTCAGCATGAAACAAAGCGAGGTCCATACAGAAATGGTTTGTCGAGATCGGTGTGGAAGAACTTGCTGGCCTGCACAGATCCCTGACCTCAAAACCATGAATTGGAACGCCGACTGCGAGCCAGGTCTAATAGCCCAACATCAGTGCCGACCTCACTAATGCTCTTGTGGATGAGTGGAGGCTGTTATAGCAGCAAAGGGGGGACAAACTCCATATTAATGCCCATGATTTTGGTAATCTAGTGTACACACAACCGCACACTACATACATACCCACACAAACACATAATATAGGTCTTCTACATGCCCTTGAACTTTAAGGCCCCTCCCCTTAACATTTACATTTGACTGTTTACACAGGGCCTAAAACTAACACCCGCCATCAGCCAAATGCGGGTAGATTTTGGCATTGGCGGGTAAGATCATTATTTCACCAGCCACCTTGGCAGGTGGTCAGGGCTCCACAGTGCGAGCATTTCACTTGCATTTGTGAATAAAAATAGTGAAGTATGATCACATTTATAGCAAAATAAATGCTGCAGTAGCTGTTTTCAAAGTATTTCTGCCGTTTTGTTTCATAGCTGGTAAATTAATCGCACAAAGTCAAAGAACTACGAATCCTACTATAGCCTATCCCACCTCGCGCTGCTGAGTGAAAGATTCATTTTTAAAATGTGTTCTAATTTACTTGAAACGAAAGTCTACTGAAGTGAGACTTTGTCTTTGTGTTTCTTTGCTATTTACATCGTTTTGCTCACAAGCTAGGTTGTTTTTCAATGTTTGAGTTTCAACTGTTAGGGAAGAGAAATCAATCTCTAGGCACAAACATCTTATTGAGTCACATTGTCCTCCCACCCTTAAAGGGGCTCATAAACTTTTTTGTTAAGAAATGAAATTAAACAATATACCACATTTAAATCTTACCAGTAATAAGTTTGTTTCAGAAACATTACAGATTTTTAAATATACCTGCCACAGTGGCTGCTGGACCAAAAAGTTAATTTTAGGCCCTGGTCTCAACATATTGGTTTCATGTTACCCCAGAGTTTGTGTGTGCGTGTGTGTGTTTGCTTCTGGAATGTGTATGTCAAAGGGCCATGTGGACCCAAAGTGTTTGAGAGCCCAGCTAAGTGGCGATAACCGGGCTTTCCAGTCATGGCCGTGTTTTGATAGATGGAGAGAAAGATTGAGAGGTTGGCGTGGAGCCACTGCATACTGGCAGAGCACAGGGGCAGATTCGAGCCCAAACGAGAGGGCAGCAGTGTTTATGACCGCATACCAGCCTAGCGGCTAAACCAGGGAGACAGGGTGCTATATTGTGATGGTGTTATTACTACCGTTCGTGGTCGCAGTGTGTGAGTGTGTGGGAAAAGGAAAGTGAAAATGAACGAAGGCTGAACCTCCTCTTCCCAGCGCTGCTGTTCTCAGAGTTATAGATTTAAAGATTGGGTTCCGCTCAACACTATGAAGGCACCACGCGGGTGAGTGTGTGTGTGTGTGTGAGAGAGAGTTAATTAGTGTGTGTCCTCTGGAAGTAAACAGTGTGAACGGAAGGCTGGGTTAATGGTTTATTCTGTCCTTTGGCTTGGCTGTATAGGGAGGAGTAACTGTGTGTGTGTTAGGGTTGGTCGGTATCCAGATTTCCTACCTTCTTATTCTACAATGTAGAAAATAGTCAAAATAAAGAAAAACCCTTGAATGAGTAGGTGTGTCCAAACTTTTGACCGGTAGTGTATGTAAACAAATAAGTACATAAACAAAGGCAACGCTGCTGCTGTATCCCAGAAGTAGCCTAAAGCTACAATAACAATCTAGGCCTATATTCCATAGTCTAGAACCGTAGGAACAGACACAAGAAATAGGCACAGCTTTTCATGGGGACCAATGTTCCCAGACCACAGTGTGGGTAGCTAGCAATACAAGGCTCACAATGCTATATTATTGGACAGATTTGCTCACTGACTTGACAATCCCAATTTAGGCTAATATGTTGTCATTGGCTGTTATGCAGACACCCTGTAAGAGTCAAACTGAATCAAACGTTTTGCACATGACATTACGCAACTAACAAATTGATATGATCATGGTGGCCTATTATTGTCAATTCGCCTTACCTATTGTCATTGTGTGGCATATCTAAGCTTTCTGCTGGCTATGACAAATTGTCCAGCAGTCCAGTTGATGGATGACCCCATCACTCTCTCAGCCCTACAGTCACACAGTCTTTCGGTCAATCTATCACTTTATCACAGCCCCTAATCGGTCTCTCTTTCTCTCTCTCTCGTTGCAGGATATCCATGAGCTCCGATTTCCAGCACTACAGTTTCAGGATGCCTAATATCGGGTTCCAGAACCTTCCCCTCAACATCTACATTGTGGTGTTTGGGACTGCCATCTTTGTCTTCATCCTCAGCCTTCTCTTCTGCTGCTACTTGATAAGGTATGATCCACACTGCTATGTCCTAGTTGATATAGGCTAGTTCCTCGTTTCTATAGTCTCCTTTGAAAATGTTGATTTGTGTTTCGGTTTCCTTGCCACCGGTGCCATACAGTGCCATACAGTGTAGATTCTGGGTTATTACATTTGTTTGTGACCCCATATTTGACCCCATATTTTAAAAAATGTGAAATCAACAATATTTCTTTGTTGTTGACATCAAGAGAGCCTCGCTTCGACGTTTACGGCGGCCATTTTGTTATGCTAGCACACTGAAGTGTTCATGCAATAAACCACCGATTCTTCAAAGCTGATTGACATAGGCTAAATCCATTGCCTCGAGAATGACTTCCCATATCCAATTATGAGACAGCAGTGTTTTTAATCTCAACCCCAGTGGTCAAGTAAATTACTTTGTTTATCCCATATGAGATGCAGCATTTTCAGTGTAACCACATTGGTTATTGATATACCCACACCACTGGGTTAGATGTTAAATACATCCAGACTGTGAGTGATTTCACAGTCACACACGTTTCTAAAAAGGCGTTGCTCGGGTCTCATTACTCTGCCAATACTTTGGCGCCGGTCTTATGTTGGATGCCATTTGAGTGTCGTACTCAAGCCCCCCTGTTTCGCCTCCCAGGATGGTATGTCCCACCATGTGATGGTCTGCTCTGTTTACAACAACACTGTGCGTCCCAAATGGCATCCTATTCCTTACATAGTGCACTACTTTTGTACAGACCCCTATAGAGGCTGCCTCTGAACACAGCTTAGGCTTTCTCCCAAACACGAGTAGCCTAGCCGTGCTGTTTTACAAGACCTCAGTGTACTAGAGGGACTATTTGTGTCCTTCAGTCCAAGCAGCGCACGTTTCTCTCTCTGCTGCAGTTTGTGGAACTAGGGGGGACAACATATTTCCCCTATAAAAGAGGGTGATGTTTTAATACAGCTTGAAGCCAGTATGACGTGAGAACAGAGGGATAAACAGCATGAGAGAGGAGAGGAACACAGACAGATGGTATAGCTCGGGAGAGAAGGAAACTTCTTTCATCCCTCTCTCCACAATGTATCCCAAATGGCACCCTATTCTATAGTGCACTACTTTTGACCAAAGCCCTATGGGCACTGGTCAAAAATAGCGCACTATATAGGGGATTGGGAGTCATTTGGGATGCAGCCACAGGCTTTTCATCATTCACACTAGCTTACTTTGAAGACCTGAGCTGCTTTGATCACGGGTAGAGACACAGAGGGTTAGCTAAAACGAACAATATTTAGGCTACTTTAAAACGAGCAAAGGTGCTCGTGTTATAGTAGTTGTTAAACTGTGTTGGCAGCCTGGTATCATCAGATGTGATGATGATGAGACTAGAATTTGTGCATTTTCAGGCTCCTAGCATGCAACACTCAGCGGGGTTACCAGGCAATCCAGGTAGTTCATCAGCTGCATATAAAAATCTTGTATCGTGTCCACAGCAAATAAGGCTGGATTTGTATCTGAAGTGTAAGCTCTGTTACCTAATGTGTTCAGGCTACAGGGTTTTGAACTCAAACTATGACCGAGCCTAACATTTGTGGCTCCGAACAAAGCTTCCAAGGCTTTACAACCAACCAACGAGATTTAATGCACTAATGAACTGCAGCAGTGTTTTTAAAGTAGTTGAGTGCACAGATGGACAGAAAAGCATCAGGTCTGTCTTACGCTTAATTAAATGGCTTAAATAACTGAAGCGAGGCTCGTGTTAGTCAAATTATTGCAGTCTGCTTCAGTCTTTTAACAAACCAACATCCACTTTAGTTTGTTAAAAGCTCAGTAAATGCATGTTATCCAAGACAGGTCAATCTTATTTGCTGTCGTTAGGCCTTAACTCCTTTCTTGGTGGTCTGGATTTAATAAAACTGTATGGCATATTGGGTCTAAATTCAATTTGTGCTGTTTTAATTTCATTTGGTGTATGTACCAATAATTGTGTGTTATCATGTTCTTCTCAAATTAACCGTTTTTCATAAAGGGTTATAAAAAAGATTCAACAGCACAGTTTGGAGAAGGTATCGCTGACTTGATCATCTAAACTGAAAAGAATCCCACCAGAAAAATGATATCCAGGCTTGTTCTCCCCTGCTGAAACATTTTTCTAGAAACATTTATTCAAAGCTGCTTAGCTACATAATCAGGACCACCGCAACTCCCAACCTTGAAGAGGCTTGTGTCGTGCCTCTCATGTTAAGTCCTTAGGCCTCTTCTCTTCTCTTAGATGGAAAACCAAGGGCATCTGTATAGCTGTTGGTATAAATTCAGCGGTTTATGCATGCTTCCAATTGGCATCCTATTCACTATATAAGGGCGGCAGGTAGCTTAGTGGTTAAGAGCGTTGTGCCAGTAACCGAAAGGTCGCTGGTTCTAATCCCTGAGCTGACTAGGTGAAAAATCTGTCAATGTGCCCTTGAGCAAGGCACTTAACCCTAATTGCTCCTGTAAGTCGCTCTGGATAAGAGTGTCTGCTAAATGACTAAAATGTAAATGTAAATATAATGCACTACCTTTGACCAGGGCCCATAGGGCTCTTAGCTCTGAGCGGTTAACTAGCGCTCAACATGGCTGAACCTTGGACAACTAAGTTAGTATTATCTCCTTAAAGAATGGCCCCTTCCCTTCAGTATGTTTTGAAGTCCCAGACCTGGCTGTATTATATTGCTTTGCGATATATATATATTTTTTTACTGGAGATCTTATTGGCCCTCCACTCTAGCCCCTCTGGCCCAATCACGATAGGCCTGAGCACTGTTGCCATGGTGGTCAACCATGGCAGTGGCCAATAACGTTGGAACTCTGTAGCATTTCTTACCTAAAGCAGCGAGAAGCAGCGTGTCTCAATCCAAATTCACCCTGCCCTGTACCTAACCCGGCGGGGGGAGATGGTAAGTGTTTTTCTGCTTTTGTTTCGTTGTTTTGCCCCTCCCCCCCAAGACAAACTATGAAATTGATACAGTGTCACAATAAAATTCTGGGAGGAAAAAGAAAAGGGGAAAGAAAGTTGGTAAGATTACCAAGTAATTTATAGAAAAACTAAAGTTAGTGGCTTTGTCCCAAATGGCACCCTATTCCCTATATAGTGCACTACTTTTGAGCAGAGCTCTATGGGCCCTGGTCAAAAGTAATGCACTGTGTAGGGAATAGGGTGCCATTTGGGACGTAGACAATTTTTACTCTGAAAGGCTTCTAAAGATGCAGTCTCCCTTTCTAACACCTGTGGCCCCCATGGTTCCCTAAATCACAATAACCACCTACCAACCCCACACACACCACAAAACCACAAGGCCTCACTGGAAACACTGAGCACTGTCTTAACTTTAGACCCCTTCACATCACACCGAGGCTCCAGGGTGAAGTTTCCCCTAGATACAGATCTAGGATCAGCTTCCCCCAATCCTAACCTTAACCATTAGTGGGGAAAATGCAAAACTACCCATAGACGCTCATCTTGGGTCAACTTCACCCTACTCCTCACACCCAGTCCACAGATGACCCTCTAAAAGCTGGACAAATACGGGACAATGAGAGGGGAACAAGGCCAGTCAGGCTCTGAAGCGGACATGTCAATGCTCGCTCTCCCAGTGTGGTCCAAGCTAACACAGCCTGGACAGCTTGACGTGAGGCTGAACGTCACAGCTAGACTCGACTCCCTCCTCTCAGTCAGTCCCAAAGTCCACACACACATGTGAAATAACACACACATACATACAGTACATACACACACACACATTGAAGAGTGTTTATCTTGCCCAGTTCTGTTTTAGAAGTCAGTCCATGGAAAGATCACATTCGTAAGCACCACGTGGCCCTTCTGTGGGCCCCTGTACTAAATGTTTACTGAAACTTTAATCTCGCCCCCTCACTACCATGCTATCAGGGCCATTCATCAAATTACCCCCTGCCCCTCACCTGTGACAACCCCCCCCCCCCCCCCCCCCCCCCTCACCTTTGACCTCTGTCCCTTGCCCAATGGGAGTCTCTGCACCTTTACCCGCTGCTCTCTTTCAGAAGGTGTCAGTCTCTCTCCTAGAACTGTGCTGCTGTGTGTTACAGATCCCTCAGCCTCTCGCTCTGCTCCGAGAGGTTAAGGTTACTAGTAACGGAGGTAAAAAAATCTTCAACACCTATGTCTCTCAATCTCTTTCTCTTTTTCTCCCTCTCTTTTTTTTATACACTGAGTGCAGAAAACATTAGGAACACCTTCCTAATATTGAGTTGCACCCCCCTTTGCCCTCAGAACAGCCTCAATTCGTCGGGGCATGGACTACAAGGTGTCAAGCGTTCCACAGGGATGCTGGCCGATGTTGACTCCAATGCTTCCTTAAGTTGTGTCAAGTTGGCTGGATGTCCTTTGGGCGGTGGACCATTCTTGATATACACGGGAAACTGTTGAGCGTGAAAAAACCCAGCAGCGTTGCAGTTCTTGACACACTCAAACTGGTGCGCCTGGCACCTACTACCATACCCTGTTCAAAGGCACTTAAATCTTTTGTCTTGCCCATTCTTTGAATGGCAGACACACAATCCATGTCTCAATGGTCTCAAGGCTTAAAAGTCCTTCTTTAACCTGTCTTCGCCCCTTCATCTACACTGATTTGAAGTGGATTTAACAGGTGACATCAATAAGGGATAATAGCTTTTACCTGGATTCACCTGATCAGTCTGTCATGGAAAGAGCAGGTGTTCCTAATGTTTTTTGCACTCTGTGTATATCCCTCCTACTGTCTTTCGATTCTGTTTTTCATTGAACATGTTTTATTTTTGTCCATTGATTTGTGCTAAAGAGAATGGTTGGTGTATGACAATACAAACTGACCACTGGTGTTATCTATGATCTTCCTTTTATTTCAGGTGATGGGAAAAAAAGGAAGAAACCCGCACACTGCTCTTGATAGTATCACTGCTCTTTAAAGAGCAGTGATACTATCAAGAGCAGTGTGCGGGTTTCTTCCTTTTTTTCACATCTTATGCACCTGCAAAAAAGATAGCTCAGATATGCGAGTGCCTTTTGAATTTTGACTTCAGGTGATGGGAAAATGTGTAAACGGACTTACCAAAATAGTTATTTGTTTATAAATGTCTGTTAATATCCAAGCTAGCATAATGTTAATGCACTATGTATATTAACTGTTCATAGTAAAACAAATTCACAGGGGGGTATATACTCACTGTTTTCATAATCTTTGTGGATCTATTTACATTGTTTTGTGCTTGTCAGCTAGGCCTATCTCATGGCTGACTTTCTTCAAGCTATAGTTAGGTGTCATTTTCCAGTCACAACACACATGCACCCACTTTTCAAAGGGTTATTTATCTTAAGAATGTGGACTTGAACGTCCTTCCCTATGCTTGGCTGCCTCTCTCTTGAGTTGACCTTAATACTCCTCTCCCATTTGTTAACATCGCTTTGGATAAAAGCGTCTGCTAAATGGCATATTATTATTATTATTATTATTATTATTAACATTATCAAGCCCTCTTAAAGGGCCTTAGCTGCCCCACTAAAGAGAATGTGCCCAGCCATTTCCTTTCCTTGTCTTCTATCCCCTTGATCACTGATCTAAGAGGACTTTAAAGGTGAAAGCAAAATGTCAGAGCCCTATCCAGTCCTATCACCCATCATTGCTTGTGAAAATCAAGGGAAGAAGATCAAGAAAGGAAGCTGTTTAGTTTTATTGGGATGTGCTGTAGTAAAGTAAAGCTTCCATTTCTACCCCACAAATGATCCATCAGTCTATCCTTTCTAGCCTAGTCAGCAGTAACGAAGGCCACTACGGTAAAGTCAAGACAGGGTGTTCTGGTTAGTTAGGCACTCTCACGTGTCCCTGCTGCATTCAAACGAATGATGGTGATAAAACCATGTGTTCTGCTGGCAGAAACCATACTTGGGGGTGTTGAAGAGTTACTAATGTAACAGGGATGATTGGTTTAAAGAGGATGTATCCTAGGCTATAACCACCTCGCTCTGTCAGTTGTGGTACCATTTATTTTATGCTTGAGAGAGAAAGTATTAGCCTCTCGACCTGGTGGACATTTTGTCTAAGCAGTCCAGTTCGGACCAGACCATTCGTCATTCAGTATGGGGATAGGCCCACATTAAATTGAGTTGTGTCAACGTGTGGAATTCCCACCTAGTTGTGGCAGTGGAGCTGTACCACAGCGCGACTGCTGACCAGTGCTCCGTCAAAGTTGTCATAAGATCGTCTGGGTGACGTTTGAGTGAGATTGAGTTTGGTACTGATAGGTGGTTGGGAAGTAGGTTATATTTTGGTTTAGTGGGGGTTAATGGGGGAGGTGTATAACAGTGTCATCAGGGTCAGAAGCAGCCAAAGCCATTGGGGTTCAATGTCACAGGTCACAGCTGTGAGGAGGATGTGATATCACATAGTGTGTGTCCCAAATTACACCCTATTCCATATATAGTGCACTACTTCAGACAAGAGCACATAGGGAATAGGGTGCCATTTGGGATACAAGAATTGTGAAATCAAATGGGTCTGTGGGCAGAAAGGGTGGCCTACCCGACCTCGGGCCATTTCATAGACCATAAAAGATAGCAGATACAATCCTTTTCAAAAGCCTTTTTGAAATGCCAAGTGGAACCACTTATGATGACAGACAGTATTTCCTGTGTGTGTATATAAAGACTTCAAATCAAACTTCATAGGAAAAGGCCTGGATTCAATTCAGTGGTTATTACGTTGACCATAGCTTTTATCTTCCATCAATAATATAATATAATAATATAATATGCCATTTAGCAGACGCTTTTATCCAAAGCGACTTACAGTCATATCAACTCATCTGGATTGATTTATGACTTCAAAACTAAAGCAAAAAAAAAGGTTAAGATTGAATCCAGCCTGCCATAGTCAAGATATTGTACAGGGGTGAGTTTCCTGAAAGTTTCGTAGCACTAAAAACATTTTTTAATCCAATGTAGGCCAGGCTAGTTCAAAACTGCAGCACTGCCATCAATGTCTGTTTCTACAGCGTCTAAACCGTTGAATTTGACTTGCTTCTATTTCAGTGCTTTTATTTGAATGGACATTGTTAAATCAGCAATTTTTCTGCCCTGAATGCTCTCTATCTATGCAGTTGCTCACTACCTGTTTCAGGGTCTATTGACTTGTCACTGTATCTGAATGTACTGTGAGTGCAACTGGCGAGTTGTAGCGGCTCCTTTACTAATTGAAGAGATGCTGTGTTTCTCTGCGTTGTCCCTGCAGGTTAAGGCACCAGGCGCACAAGGAGCTGTATGCATACAAACAAGTAAGAGGCCCGTCGTCTACACACACGTGCGCTCACACGTGTACCCACACACACACACACACACACACACAAAATACTATGAACATAGTTTATTTTTCTCACAGTATGTCACTGTAGTCTATAAATCCTCTGTTGCTGAACATACACATTATATAATACACACCCATAATATACATACTGTAGAAGGCAGCAGAGTAAACAGAGAAAGATGGTGGTTTATTTTGGGCTAGTTTCAGTGGAAGTTTGGGGACTCACCCTTAATCAAATGTACGGCCAGTTTTAGCCAGCCTGCCAGGCCTGGTCAGCAGGACGGTTGTGACTAGAGGAGTACAGCAACGACTGGAAGTTACTTTTCGTAGCAGGTTAGGAGAGCATTTGAGCTAACCCTTTTCCTAACCTTAACCTAAGTCTCCTAACCTGCCACGTTAATTACCCTAACCTGCTGCATAAATTCTCCTAACCTGCTACGAAAAAGTAACTTCCGGTCGTAGCTGTACTCCCTCGTGTCAGAACACATTTCCAGATGCTGAGTGTGAAATAGCAGCAGAAAGCGTTGATTTTGTTGATACGTCTTTAATCCCTTTAAGTGAGTGGTGAGGGCTTGGGCCTGAGCCTTACAAGACCATAACTGCCTGTAACTGAACTGAACTCTACATCAGCATTCTTCTAATACAAAAAAAAACGAGAATTGGATTCACTTCTGAATGTTTCCTTCAAGTGAGTAGAAGTGTGTTTATGTTGTCAGTTCTAATTGTATGCCTTTTTTATTTCCCCTCAGGTTATACAGAAGGAAAAGGTCAAAGAGCTAAATTTGCATGAGGTAAGCACTGTTCCATTGTCTTGTCTTCTATTGATACTGTATCTCATGGTTACATGGGCTTTGAGTTGATATTGTTTAGCATTGCACAAAGTGTTGAAACTTTCATTGGACAAGACAGGGACATTCTGTAATACGACTGACAAGCTTAGCACACTCTGTGCTGTACTTCCCTAATGTAACCTATTAGTAACATCAGTAACTGTGTTTGGGCGTTGTACTGAACTGTACTTCTCTCAAACGCAACATTTCAGACAGGAAACGCCAGTATTTGTTTTGTTTAACCATTATTTAGAAAAATATTTCAATACGTTAGGGTTTGCGTTAGGCTCTGCTCCTTCGAGGTATCTCACTGCCAGAGCGTGCATCATGTTAAAGCTGCAATATGTAACTTTTTGGGCGACCCCGACCAAATTCACATAGAAATATGAGTTATAGATCTGTCATTCTCATTGAAAGCAAGTCTAAGAAGCAGTATATATGTTCTATGTGCGCTATTTCTATGCGTCCCTTAAGTTTCGTTTTTGCGTCTTTTACTTTCGGTTTTGTACACCAGCTTCAAACAGCTGAAAATACAATATGTTTGGTTATGTAAAATCTATTTCAGCGGTTTTGATGGTACAATGATTCTCTACACTATACTTGCTTGTTTTGTCACATAAACTGAAATTAGGCAAACTATTTAAATTTTTGCAACTAGGAAATGGCGGAGCGATTTTTGCATAGTGCACCTTTTTAAGATCATAATAATTACAGGCAGTGAGCAAGGTACTCTGTACCAATCCCCCTGCAGGACGGAAACACAGAACCAAACAGGTGGAGGCTGGGGTGGTGGGTGGGTACAAGAAAATGCAACCGCATACTATCGAGTAACCAACAGCGGTAGAGGCAGCAGAGAATGTGAGTAAAACTGATCAGCTTAAATATACCACCATATTAAGGTAGGAAGTGTTTGTAGAATATGATTGGTGCGACGTCAGCTGATGCATATACTCTGGTTTCCTGTCTGAACCGGCTGCGCTTGATAGACTGTAAAGTCGCCATTGGTCTGGTATTTACATTGATTGGTTTGTTGTTTACTGCTGTGTTACTGTATATGGGTCCCATGACATGCACTACCAGTCAAAAGTTTGGACACACCTACTCATTCAAATGTTTTCTTTATTTTTACTATTTTTTACATTGTAGAATAATAGTGAAGACATCAAAACTATGAAATAACACATGGAATCATTTAGTAACCAAAAAAGTGTTCAACAAATCAAATTCTATTTGAGATTTGAGATTCTTCAAATAGCCACCCTTTGCCTTGCAACCAGCTTCACCTGGAATGCTTTTCCAACAGTCTTGAAGGAGTTCCCACGTATGCTGAGCACTTGTTGGCTGCTTTTCCTTCACTCTGCGGTCCGACTCATCCCAAACCATCACAATTGGGTTGAGGTCGGGGGATTGTGGAGGCCAGGTCATCTGATGAAGCACTCAATCACTCTCCTTCTTGGTAAAATAGCCCTTACACAGCCTGGCCTACACAATCCCTGTTGAAAAACAAATGATAGTCCCACTAAGCGCAAACCAGATGGGATGGCGTATCGCTACAGAATGCTGTGGTAGCCATGCTGGTTAAGTGTGCCTTGAATTGGAAACTTCACCCTGGAGCTTCGGTGTGATGTGAAGGGGTCTAAAGTTAAGACAGTGCTCAGTGTTTCGTCCATCTGTCTCTAAAGGCAATGAAACTGTGTCAAGGCAAATCAAACTGATTCTGTGTTGTTAATATAAATGGAAAGTGTAGCCTATCCAGTGAGGCCTTGTGGTTTTGTGGTGTGTGTGGGGGTTGGTAGGTGGTTATTGTGATTTATGGAACCATGGGGGGCACAGGTGTTAGAAAGGGAGAATGAGTAGGTATGTCCAAACTTTTGACTGGTACTGTACATTTAGGCTACTTATTGATTAAGAAACCTGTGATATTGATGAAGCAGATTTATCAATGTTGTCTGAAGCGAACTGGTTGTTCAATAGCCACAAGATCTTGAAAAATGGATTTGTATCTCAACTAGAATAACCTGGTTAAATAAAGGTTAAATAAAAAAATATATTAAATAAAATGTTGTTTAAATAGCGAGGGAACCCCGTAATGCAAAGGTGACCTGTCGAGACAGATTTAATTCAGCTGTCAGCAGACTGTTGTCATTCTCTCTCTCTCATGTTTAGGGTATCCATGTCAGAAGAGGAACATTGTGTGTGTGTGTGTGTGCACACGTGTGTTTTTGTGTGTTCATGTGTCCTGTCCTCTCTCATTATGCATGTCTGTACTGTCTCTGGAGCTTGTTACGGTCCATCTGTTGCGTCGGACAATGTGTTAGAAGTTCATGTCAGCCCAGCTGTTCAGCTAGCAGCGTTAGCCCCTTTTCCACAGATCCCCTTCACAGCCTCAGCCCTGGCCCCTGTTAAACTGGGCCCCAGTGGCCCTACTAGCCTCTCGCTAGCCCCCTGCTAGCCCCCGCTACTCCCTTTAGCATGTCCATGCTAATGAAAAGGCTAGCGCTGGCACCCGTGTGTAAGGAGCGAAGGTGCTACGTCGCTAACGCTAACCGACCGGCTCACCGGCAGGGCAGGAATTTCCCACAGTGCAGAGCTCTAGTTATGTAGGCATTATTGAGTCATTCTATGTTATTAAAAGTGGGAGAGCGCTACAGTATGTGACATGTGAGTGCAGCGTGTGTGTGTTTGTGAGCATGTGTATGTGATTGTTGGACAAGTTGTTATGTATTGCTGAAAAATAATAACACTCGCCAACGTTGGTGGCCGGGGGAATGACCCATTTTATTGGAAGGGCCCTGTCCAAAGGAAAATGTTTTGGAAAAAGTGTATAGATTGCGCCTCTTGCAGCTGTATACATCTAACCTCCATTTGACACAGAGCATGGCTACAACAGCTGTGAATAATACATTCATTGTATCCAGCTGAACATAACCCTTACAAATGCACACACACCACGGTACATCACGTCGTGTCCTTGGCTGTTTATGATGGACGGGGGTTGTATTGTGTGAGGAAGTGCATTAGCTCAATATTGTGGCAGTTCAGTATTAGTGTCCTTGATATTACTCAGCCAATGGGCATAACACCCTGTCAGACAGTGTTGCTGTGACGTTGCACTGTACAGCCGCAGCAATGTAATATTCAAAGAACATTGGGGGAACATTATAAGCCAATCGCTAACATTCAAAGAACAATAGGGGAACATTTTTAGGCCTAAACCTTGTGACAAAGTAGGCTATTCAAAATGTAGGACTACTGTATGTGAATGTTGTGCTGGTGAGTGTTGACATTAGCAAGCTTTGGCTTCAATAAGCTCTCAGCTCTGTTTGACTTGCCGTATGTTCCTTGCGTTCCCTCCCATAAGCAAACAGAGGCCTACTTTTGAATTAATCAGCCATTATCGTTTTGATAAGATAGGCCTAACTCTGGCACAGCGTCCCGAATGGCAACCTATTCCCTACATAGTGCACTACCTTTGGCCAGACCCTATGGGGACACAGACTAGGTCTATGTTCACAGCATGAATTGTCAGTAGCATGAATTAAATACCTTTATTTAGTGCGTGGTTTGGTAGGAGCAGCAATGCTCCTTGTTTGACAATAATTGCCTATTGATTAATTCTAAGTTAGGCTTTTTCAGTTTGCATGATCACACACACACGTGCACAATACTTTTTACAAGTGTCGTAATGGACGTCAGTGGTGACCAAGGGACTGTGGCCCTCAACAATAGTTTTGAATGAGCCCCTGGGGGTGATCCACTGTCCCCATTCAGGTACCCATTACGCCCCCTCACTGTCCCCATCAACTCAAAATCTCTTTGTCCCCGATTGCGTTTCATTCCAGAAAGATGTCACAGTTCGAGTCCAGTTAATTAAGGCCATTGGACAGATGTAGCCTAACTGATAGCTTCACTTTTGCCTAGTTTCCTTGCCATGTACTCCCGAGTGGCGCAGTGGTCTAAGGCACTGCATCGCAGTGCTAGCTGTGCCACTATAGATCCTGATTCGAATCCAGGCTCTGTCGTAGCCGGCCGTGACCGGGAGACACATGGGGCGGCGCACAATTGGCCCAGCGTCGTCCAGGGTAGGGGAGGGAATGGCCGGCAGGGATGTAGCTCAGTTGGTAGAGCATGGTGTTTGCAAGCCAGGGTTGTGGGTTCGATTCCCACGGGGGGCCAGTATGAAAAAAATTATGCACTCACAACTGTAAGTCACTCTGGATAAGAGCGTCTGCTAAATGACTAAAATGTAAAAATGTAATGCTGCTTTCTCTTCAGGATAGGGAGGAGGCGGCAACTGGTCATGTGAAATGAAACACAGCCCCTCACCTCTAGCTCAGTGCAGTTGTACTCAGTAGAAAAAACCCACTAGCCTCAGACTGGGTCTCTGGTGACCCCATTTCCTGCCCAATTTGGAGCTGCTTTCCCTCTGACCCATAGTTAGCCTGCCTGGGGGTGCACACACACTGACCAGTACACATTCTGATACACACACACTCATGTACAATACCCACTTAACAAACTACTCATTAAGCCAAATGGTTTTAACAGGGTTTCTTAAGTGGCTGTGTGGGATTAGAACTACGCAGAACGGTACAAGGAGAACTTGATTGTTTGGTGAATAGGAATTGTATCTCACAAACTGGTCTAGCCTGAACCAGCGCAAGAGAGACGTTTTTGCTGATCTTGGGTCAGTTGAGCATTTTCTCCACTAATGGTTAAGTATAGGATTGGGGGAGGTGAAACTAGATCTGGACCTAGGGGAAACTTCAGACAGAACACAACCCAAGCAACCTTTAAGTGGAACGGTAATAATAGAGCCAGACTGAATAAATGAATTTGCCGTCATGAATTTTCATGAGGCCGTTGGCATTTGGAGCAGAGTGGTTGTTTTGCAATCAGACACAGGCTGTCTGGCTTTGTTTAAATGCTAGCTTTGTGGATAGTGGTCAGTGTTGTTGCGGGATGTTGCTCAGTTTTACGAGAGCAACAAGGCAAGTCTTATGTAAGCTGGGATTTGGACCAAGATGAGCAATGGGTGGCCAGTTGCAAGGGCCAGTATTCATAAAGCGTGCTGATCTAGGATCCGGTCCTCTCTAATCTCTCATGGACAGATCTATGTAAGCATAACTGGTACCGTACAATCTGTCGGGACTGAATGGGATGGGTAGGATAACGAGAAGCAGTAGTACCGGTTTTGGGGGTTTTCGTCACTGGTTATTTGGATAAATCACTTTTTCGCAGGTGTTAGCGTCTTTTGAATTTCGGAAGGGGAGGGGACTTTCGGCCCATAACTTACAAAGAGAGAGGGTTCTGCTCCTCGTTCTGGTTCCGCTCCTAGTTCTAGCATTTCTTGATCCCTTCTCTTCACATGTATGGACCCAGAACTTAATCGAGCAGCTGTCCAATTACGCAATATTTTAGTTCTGGGTTAGGGCCCCTCTGTCCATATATTCGTATTCACTTCACTATCATCTAAAAGGCTAACCTTTTTTTACCAATATGGGCTGAGCTGGAGTCAAAGTAAAGAGACACGAAATAGCCCAGTAAATATTATTACTGTGTAACTGCTTTATATCTTGTATCAAAAGCGACAACTTGTTTACAATGGGAGGTTTGAGTTTATTTTAATATAGCAGTTACATAGTATCAGATAAAGTTCGACATCGTGAGTGCTGAGTCTCTCGTGAGTGCTCTCTCCCTTTTTCCCCCGCTATCTCGCCCACCCCCATCTCCTTGAGTAGAGTGACTATCTTTACAGAAACCCAGCCTAAAACCCCAAACCGCAAGCAATGCAGATGTAGAAGCACGGTGGCTAGGAAAAACTCCCTAGGAAGAAACCTAGAGAGGAACCAGGCTCTGAGGGGTGGCCAGTCCTCTTCTGGCAGTGCCGGGTGGAGCTAGTACATGACTGTTAAGGCCAGATTGTTCTTCAAGATGTTCAAACATTCATAGATGACCAGCAGGGTCATTCAGAGGTTGAGACAGCAGGTGTGGGGGAGAGAGAGAGAGAGAGTCAAAAACAGCAGGTCCAGGACAAGGTAGCACGTCCGGTGAACAGGTCAGGGTTCCATAGCCGCAGGCAGAACAGTTGAAACTGGAGCAGCAGCACGACCAGGTGGACTGGGGACAGCCAGGAGTCATCAGGCCAGTTAGTCCTGAGGCATGGTCCTAGGGTTCAGATCCTCCGGGAGGGGAGGGAGAGAAGGAGAGATAACAATATGCTAACTTAAACTGTATGTAGGCTCCTTAGACTATTTTCAGTGCAGGTTGCTCTTGTAACCCTGGCTACACCCAAAGAGACTGCTTTCCAGAGTTGAGCACAGCAGCACATCAATTTATTCTAGTGATTGTAATACATGTTCATGCCCTCGTACACTCACACACACTGTGAGACCTGGGTGTGTTCTGTACTGAGCTCAGGAGGAGGTAGTGCTGAGACGTGCAGTTTGGTCCATATCTCCCACACAACTGTCAGATTTAATGCACCGCTCATCTACATGATCTAACTCTCATTTGCATAGATACCACACAAACACACACACAGGAGGAGGTGGTGCTGAGACGTGCAGTTTTGGGCCATATCTCACACACATCCTAAATCATCACGCCTCTCCACTCCTCCCATGAGTGTAACACCATAGCTAAAGAGAGGGCACTGAAAAGAACGGACACCATTGATCTAGTGAATTTGAATGAGCCAGGGTTAGTGTTCAATGGAGCTCAACAGAGAGGATGGTGTCTTGTCTCTAACTACACCCTAGAGAGAAACCTTAGAGGGCTAAGTACCTCTTTTCATCCCCAGCCCCAAGCTAGTCTGCATTGAAAAGGGGGAGAGGGGGAGAAGTATGCCTTTTGTCCTTGAAGTGTAGCACTCCAATGTAGGTTCTGTCCCGACGTAATATTGAAGCCAAAATGGCCACAGACAGAAAGCTAGGCTCATAGAGTTGGATAGAGGACACGCTTGCCACAAAGCCTGTTTGCAAAGATGTCCAACTCTATGGCTAGGATACACAGCGCTAGCAGTTCTTCTGTATTGAGGGAATGTTACACGCATTCTTGAATTTAGCCTAGTAATTTGCATAGAGATCACTGTGCAGTGTGTAGTGAGCCTCCTGGGCCGTCGTCCCAAGACAAGATGCCATGCGTTGTACTGATATGGATTGAAAGTACCTTTTAGATATAGTGATGCAGTGGTAATGTCCTGATTTCAATGTCTGGGGTACAACATTACTAGCTTTGTCTGGTTAGAGCTGGAGTTACAAAGGTGATTCTTCATGAACATTGTGGAGCCACTACTGGCAGTAATGTATACACACACAACAGTGCTGATAGGTCAGTGAATGGGGAGTGTGTGTGTGTACAGCAGCACTGACAAGTTAGTGAGTAAATTAGCTCTATCCAGTCTGCCGGTCTCCATCCTGCCTCTGTCAGCAGCGTTGTCTTGTCACTAGCTTCTCCATTGTGTCCTCAGACAGACACACACACACACACACTTCTTCTCCCAGCCCACACAGAGTCCTATTGTGACAGTAGGGCTAATGCTTCATCACTGTCAGCCACAAACAGACTACCTCAGTCTCTCTAGCTCCCAGTCATTGTCAACACACACACCAACCACTGCCTCGCAGCACACTGTTCAATCGAACATGCACTGCAGTACAAACAGTGTGCGTCCCAAATGGCACCCTATTCCCTACTTAGTACACTACTTTTGACCAGGGTCCATGAGGCTCTAATCAAATGTAGTGCACTATATAGGGAATAGGGTAATGCATAGCCTAATTTCTCCTGAGGTGTCCTATAACAGAGCCGATTGGCTTTGGGCAACTAAGGTGGATGCTTACAGGTTTTCAGAATAAGGCCTGTGTGTGCACACTGCGCATGCAGTAGTCGTTCTAAACAACGATCCCTGCATCAATACTGCTAATGCAGGATTGATTGAATCCAGCCCTCCACAAAAAGGGACTTTAAATACCCAGTCAAGTGTCCCTCTCTCTCCCTGAGTGGTGTTCTCTTGTCTTACTACACAGCTAGTATTTGCTTCAGCTTGGCCAAACTAGGCTATAAACTAGCTTTAATGGTCTTATTTAGGCCTATTTGTCTAGCTGCCTGGGCTGGAAGGTACGCAGGGAGGTACACACACGGTACACCGTACCCAGCTGGGCCAGACTGGTTTGGGCTGAGGAGACCCTTACTGGATCTAGATTCAACTGGTTTTTAATGGCTTGTGTGAAGTTGAGGGCGCAATCGACATTATCGTTGTCGTGTCGTGTGTGTGTGTGTGTAGAGTATGTATGATGCTGGCAATTAGTAACTGTGCGTGCGACTGTGCGTGTGTCTCTGCGTGTGTATTGTGTGTAACTTCTGGATTTAGTCAGGAGGCTATGATGAATAGATCACGCCCCTGTGTGTGTGCATGTGTTACGTAAGTTGCATTTCTACAACACTCCAGATGCAGAGGCCTTTTCTGTTTCCACTCTCCACAATGCTCCCTCTGTAACATCACAGTTTAATTAAAACGTTATACTGTTTGAGGGAGAGGCTTCTGTCTCCAGCCCGAGGAGTCTTATCTCAAGGTGTGTCGCCACTCTTTCTAGGCCTGAGAAATCACATATTGAGGTCTGGCATGAGAAGTGGTATATCGAGGTGATTGCTTATATCATCGACGTTCCTCTGGGCTCCAGGGCCCATATTCATTAAGCATCTAGTAGGAGTGCTGATCTAGGATCAGGTCCCCCCTGCCCGTGTAGTCTTATTCATTATGATCTAAAAGGCAAAACTAACTGATCCTAGATCAGCACTCTCTGAGACGCTTCATGAATATGGGCCCAGAAGTGTACAAATCATATATCAAGGTGTGTTGACGCTCCCTCCTCTGGCTATGCCCAGACATGTTTTAGTTTGAGATACTGACGTCTGTCATCCCATAACAGTACATACAAAACCCACCATCTCGAAGCTACATTCCAGGAGAAGACTGGGTGTGCTTCCTCTATCTGTGAAATCTTTGTAGATTTGGTTAATGGTGTCATTGTCAAGTGTTGTAACTAAAAAAACAACACACAAGTCTTAAAATAGGCCTATGAGCGCTTCCCTTCAGTGGGTCAAGGCTATTCGGTCGGGTGATTGTAGGTCAGTTTTGAGTCAATGTTTGAGTTGCCATCTAGGGTCCAACCAATGAGTGATTATCTACCCACAGGGCATGTTGTTTTTAGTTGCTCAGTTGAGCTGACCATGGTGGCATCAACGACAGGAGTACAGTAGTTGACCTTTGTGTTCAAACCAATTCAACTCAACTTTAGGGTCTGCAATACTGTTTATGAGTTAGCGAGAGGAGAGCAGCCCAACTCACTATGAAATAAGATGCCCAACTCAAACATTCTGTTTGCGAAATAATTATTTTGCTAAACCGCAATATACAAACTCCTCTGTCTATGTTCATGTAGCCTTTTTGTAAAGCTGAAAAACAATATACAAACCTCTGTTTGTATATTTGTACTGCTGAACGACAAATGTCCTCGACAAGGATAACGAGGCCTTGTCTGCATCCCAAATAGCACCATATTCCCAACATAGTGCACTTTTTTTGACCAGAGCTCTATGGGTAATACACTATATACTGTAGGGAGCCATTTGGGATGCAGCCCTTCTGTTATTCTCAAACCCTCTTCTACAGGACAGTAGCTGTGGTGGGCTGTTTAAGTTGTTATGTTATTCTGTCCTGCTTTTCTCTCTGTCTTAGTCTCTCTCTTTCTGTCTCAATCTCGCGCTCTCAGTAAACTTCAATTACAGTGGCTGTGGTTGTTTTGCTGCCTTGCTTAACCCCCCCCCCCCCCCCCCCCCTTCTCTCTCTGTCTGTGTCAACAGATATGTGCGGTGTGCTTGGAGGAGTTCAAACAGAAAGACGAGCTGGGGATTTGCCCGTGCAAACACGCCTTTCACAGGAAGTAAGTACACCAGAGGCCTGGCTAATGCCCACACACTGTACACAGAGCCTGTGGATGGGTCCTAGCCCCTCTAGGCCTAGGCTGTCTTCCAGACTCACTCAGCCCCTGTCTCACAATAACATTAAACAGTGCTGTTGAGCACCATTTACATAACCCAATCTAATATCCACACCCTGTACACAGAGCCCCTGTCCCATTCAAAATGCGATTAGAAAGGATCACCCAGTTGCACAATAAGTTCTGTTGATGATGAGCATGTGGTGTGAAGTGGACCCAAAATGGTGCATCCCGCCTCCACAAAGTGAATCCAACTCACTCATCCTAGTCTAATTCACACACACTGTACTCAGCCCAGTCGCACAATAACAATAACATTGGTCTGTTGTTGATGAGCATGAGGGGCAAAGTGGATTCAAAATGGTGGACCTCCTCTTCACACAGAGAGCTTATCATCAACACAGTTAGTCCAGTGAATCCAGTGCACTCAGCCCCAGTTGCACAGTAACTTCTCTTCAGGGCAAAGTGGACCCAATATCGTGGACCGGACCCCTCCTCACACCAAGTCAAACATGTTATGATTCGGCTGCAAATGTGGTGGTCCCCTTACCACCATTTCTTCACCGCTATCTACAGTACCCGCCCCCTCCAAGGTCTCTTAGTACAGCAACCCAACACATGGCAACAGAGGGAAAGAGAAAGATTGAAGAAATCAAAATCCAGGAAAGAGTGAAAGTAGATGGCGAGGGGTGAAGAAAGAGAGAGATTATAGGGAAAGGGAACGACAGACCGAGAGCAAGTGAGAGAGAACACAATGCAGCGCTTGATGGATTGGAAGTCTCTGGTGACCTGGGGCCAAATGAGTTTCCTCACCCCAGCATGACCATTTAAATTGGGCTGTTTACGTCGAGCAAGCCCCCTGCCTTGGCCTAGTTTTTACCACATGTCAGGGGCGGGGCCCACTCAATCACAATACACTGACTTGCATGTCAACACACTCCGCTGTGTGTGTGTGGCCCTCTGGGACAGTGCAGAGAACTAGATGGCATTAGAGAGTAGAAGATTTATAAACCTCTCAGGGGTTGAGTTGAACTCCCTTTTCTAGTCTCAAGTTGAATTTGAATACACCACACACACTACGCCCGCCTCCCTCTTTCCCCCTCATATGCACCCCTCTAGTAGGTGACACTGATAAGGAAGCACAGTTGCACAGTCCCTTTCCACCTTCAATCCTATGTGTGAATCCCTTCCCACCCCTGTGGGACCAGAGTGTACCAAAATAGAACTGCCAGCCCCACTGTAAATAATTCAGTAGCAACGAACACGCAACGCCGCCCCCACTCACTTCTGAGTGAGTCATGGGCAGAAGCTCTAGTCTAGCGTCCCAAATGGCACCCTATTCCCTCTTTAGTGCTCTACTTTTGCACCCTATTCTCTATTTAGTGCACTATATAGTGCCATTTGGGACGCACCCCTAGTCTAGGCCCCATCCACCTACTGTACTGGACTGTCTCACCATCTGGAACACACAGAACAGGTAGAAATAGAACACACATTGGAGAATGATGAGTCTGTTGTTTTTTACAGTTACTGAGCTATTTCTAGCTGCTATGCTGAACAGTCTGACCTGTAGAATAAGCCCCCTGGTCTCCTAGTGCTAGGTCTTTGTGAACAGTCAGAAATAGAATAGCTGGATCAGTTGCAGCAGTCAAAGAGCTGAACTGAGAGGGCTAGTGTTTAGAGAGACAACACTAGAAACACAAACACGTACATATATAGTCTAGCCGATATTAGTGTCTACCACATTTGCAAGTGATGACTTAAGCCTAGAGGTTAAGAGAGTTGGGTTAGTAACTAAAAGGTTGCTGGTTTGACTCCCCGAGCTGACTAGGTGAAAAATCTGTCTGTGCTCCTGTAAGTCGCTCTGGATAAGCGTCTGCTAAATGACTAAAATAATGAACCATCTTGTCTCTCTCTATCCCTCAATCTCCCGTCCCTCGCTCTCTCCCTGTCATCCCCACCCTCCTCTTCCTTCCTTCCTTCCTCCCCCCACCCCTCTCTCTCTCTGCCAGGTGCCTCATTAAGTGGCTGGAGGTGAGGAAGGTGTGCCCGCTGTGCAACATGCCCGTCCTGCAGCTCGCCCAACAGGCGGGCATCCCCATCGACGTCACCGTGCCCATACAGCAGCCCCTGCCAGGCGTGGAAAACCTGGTGTAGCGCAGACTGCAGTGCTCACACACACACACACACTACACACACCTGTACAGGTACACTTACGCCTCGACCACACCGATAGCGTCATTGCGTTTTGGTACACCAGAAGTACATTCATTTCCAATGGAACGCTGCGTTTGCCTTGCAGCATTGCGTTGCAGTGCATCCTGTGTGGTGCATACATTGGATTAATCGAACGTATGCATCAAATTATTTGCGTAGACGGCTTGACCGAAATGGTAGCAGAAGGTGAATGTTGAACTTTAGTTGCACACATATCCAGATGATGCCACGTACCATTTTGCGCAATGACTGTAGGTGTGATCGAGGCGTTATATATGGTTTTTAAGGACAGGACAGACAATGGAGAAACACAACGCCGTTACGATGCGGACAGAGACTCACGGCAATGAAGAAGTGAATCTGCTGCCTCTCCTCCTCATCTCTCTGCCTTGGTGGATTCACATAAGGATTTTTTATAATAACGGTTCTTTACGGACAATCTCTTTTTTTTCTTGTGGACACAGCAGTGGTCACTATTCTGACCGTTTCACAACCAAAGCACTTTTCTGGGGACACGAGCGTGTGACGAATAAGAGACACGAAAACCAACAACTACAACACGTTGAAATGAAAATGGCTGCATCGTTTCGTTTTCTTTTTAACGACTAAACCTTTGTATTTTTTTTTTTTACAAGCACTTTAAAAATGTAACAAACTTAAATTGCTTGTGAGGAGGTTGTAGTAGCAACAAGGTTATATTTTATATTTTATTATTACGATTAACTTTTTTTTGTGTGTACATACAGAGCCACATGAGTACATTTTTTAGTTGAGTGGGTTATTTTTTGGGGGAATATCTTAAAGGGACAGTAGCCGCCAAATTAATTGACGTCAGGATACGCATGGTATGCTCAAGGAACCGCAGAATTTTGTGACCTGATCCTCCCCCTCTCTCACATATACAAAAGTGGATATTGAAGGGGTGTGAATGAGGGGAGTGTATGTGTAAAGGGAACAGGGTCACCCCAACCTCAGTACTTTGTGTCTAAACAACTTAATGTGAATTAAGAGAGGATGGGTTCGAATGTGGAGTTGTGACCCGGATGTGATTTGCTGCATCTGTGACTCTGCATCCCCTCTTGCATATGAAAGGTTGTACAGTTTGTTACTCACTGCACACCTCAGTGTCTGTGTTCCAAAATGGCACCCTATTCTCTAAATAGTGCACTATTGAAGGAATGGGATGCAGCCTGTGCGTGTTTGTTACAACAAGGCCTTTCTGTGGGCTATGTGGCCACTGTCACGGTCTGCATCTGTCAAAATATGTAAACAAATTGTTAAAACGCAACAATGCTGAGGTCGTTTTCTCATTGAAAGATTTTTCACTATGAGGTTTTATGAGGGTCGAATCAAATGAAAATAGTAGAATTCCCTAGTGTAAACAGTCACAGCAGTGTACGAGCCCCCTGTGTGTGCCCCACAGACACATACCCGACACAAACTGTGGAGGGGTCCTGGCTTCAGTCACTTCCTGTGGACGGGCGACCAGGAAGTAAGAGAAACCCAACACCCTGAGCCCATGGCACCCCTAGAGCCAACCTCCAATCAGATGCCTCCGTTCTTGTTACATAAGAGAAGACTGAGCCCCCCCCCCGAGCCCGCAGCGCTCCCAAAGCTTTACTCATATAGCTTGTGGCAACGGAGCGCTATGAAATCACAGTTGGAAGATTCCTCTTTGGTTTTATACGGTTAAAAATGCATCCCTCTCTTGCCGTCCTCAGGTTTGAGTTTGAATGTGGTTTAGCCTGATGGAAGTCTAAAACAACTATCCCAATCTACACACTGATTAAATAGTAAACAAGAGTACTTCATATAATGCCAAAATGATTATATTACATATTGTCTCTGATGTGATCATGTCTGGAATCATAGATTCTATAGGCTAATCTTTATGAAACCTAGAACAAACACTGGTCCACTAAGGCAGGGGTTCTTCAACTTTTCCAGCTCAAGACCCAAATTAGAAATGGACCGTCCTCCCCTGACCCAAATGGTCCTCCAACAACCCAAATGAAGAAGAAATAGTGCGTGATTATAGATGTATTCTCACAACTCGCAACCCACCTCTCACATGCCCAGGGCCCACTTTGGGTCCCGATCCATAGTTTAAGAAACCCTGCACTAAGGCATTGTTGCATTTTCACTGCTATACATAAATGTATAAAACCAGACATTTTGTTTTTATCAAACTTTTGACATGAATGATGGTAGTGAACGCTACAGGGTGACACAGCACTGCCTTGGAGCGTGAAAGGCTTGGTGAAATCTATCAAGTTGTGACACAACGTAAACTAAGCAACAAACCTTGTCTCTTGTTTGCTAGCCGTGACTGATGTAGTATTACATATTTTGGCAGAAAAACACATGGTTTGTTACTCAGCACTGAAAGGGCATGACCACCCGGGCTTTCACTTCGTTTTCAATTCAGCCAACGATTCAAAGCCGCTTCTGTGATTAGTAATTACTTAGCGGTATTTAGCTTTAGCTTAGCATTGATCTAATTAAGCTATGGGTGATATAAATCAAATCAAATATTATTGGTCACATACACGTGTTTAGCAGGGTGTAGCGAAATGCTTGTGCTTCTAGCTCCGACAGTGCAGTAATATCTAACAAGTAATAGGCTAAGTATCTAGTTCAAATTCTAGCTGCACTCAACCATATCAAGTCAACACACATACGTACGTTCCCAGTAGATGTCATTGAGCTGGTATAGGCCCTGGTCAGCAGTCGTAGAGAATAGCAGTGTTTTAGCAGCCTCATTCTAGCTCTTTCCCCAATCGCTCTCTCCACACCAGTGTTTTGTTCACCGCTACACACACACACCAACCCCTCTACCCTGGTGCTTTGTTGCACCACCTTTTGTGGCATCACTGTAGTAAAAGTGCTGTGTGATAGTTTGGAACAGAGGGGAAACAGTGTCCCATAGGTCAGGGGTCAGCTTGTGTCAAAGGTCACAGACTAGATCTAGGTGATGGGTCATAATAATGCCGTTCAATACAGCTTTATTTATAAGACAGCCTGGTCTGTCGAACAGGGTCGATTTGGTTCTTCCCTCTTTAAGTGTTTGTACCTTTTCAGGACCCCGGCTTATTCAGTGCTGAGTATCAGGCCCAGTTCCAGAACAACTGCGCTTGTGTCTTCTAGACTGACTCCTTTAAATAGAATGGTATTCTTAGAATGCTAGTCATTCTATTGAATTCAATGAACTGTCATCAACCATCCAATGAAATGTACTGTGTCCGCTGGCTTTACCTTCGAACAACAACTAACAGATGGGAATGTGTTAGCCTACTGTTGCTAGCTGGTGAAAAGAATAGTAGAACATTATTTGTTACCAATATCTGAAACAATGTCTCCCCCCCCGCCCCACCCAATGAAATCTATTGTATTGGAGGAGGGAGGAGGATGACGATTGTGATTATTATTATATATTTTTTACTTGTGCTTTACTTACAATTTTTGTTCATTTTGGCCATTTGTTTGAAGAGGCACTAGTCTGTGGTTGAATGTGGAATGAGAAAAACCATAACCTTTTTATTGAAGGCGCCCGGCGTTGCTTGTATGTGCGGGTCGCTTCGGTACCCGTTTGCCTCTTCTTGGTTCTTCTGTGTGGCTACACACAAAAATGAGCTACACAGGAACCAATGGAGGTGTCACCCTTTCTGTATATCACTCAAATATAAGTATATAACACACCTCTTTGTACAAAGAGACTTCAACTCTGATATTAATCTCAAAACTCCCAAGTTTGACTGGTCCGAAGTTATTTCGACAACTAGCCCCACCACTTTCTTATTCCCTTAAGACTCCTATATTGTAACATATTGTGGTTGTCTCTGAATGTACAGTTTAAAGGGAGATATAACGATAGGACTGGGCGAGGAGGAGACCAATAATGTGAAAGCATGCGATGAAATTGCGACTGCACTTGCAACCGATTTCACCATTGTAATTGTACATAGAGAGTAGTAGTGTTGGTAGGAAGGCATACTGCATACATACTCCACTTTTTACTGTGAGGGGGTATGCATTGTGCACTGAACAGTTGAGGGTAATTCTTCCATCGAAAACACTGCATCTGAGCACTTATAACTGCCATTTGCCCATCCGAGAATTGTAACAAGGCCAGCCATTTTGTAATGCTTTCTTTCAAATGAGAGTTGAAGGTCAGAAGAGAACCCTTATCTAATATACCCCTTCATTTCTTCCTGTGTAACTCCCTAATCCTTCCCCCACGCTTCTCGGACCAGACAACATAGTTCTAGGTTCTCTCAGAGTCCTGGAAAGCATGTAGCCACGGTCAAGTGCCACAACAGCAGGCAGTTATAGGCCCTTCCGCGAGAGGAAGGAATAATAGGTGATTATTCACTATGAATATACACATCGTCTACTAGTTATTATTACTGCACTAGGTACCAGGCCAAATCTATTTGAAAAACATTGGGAGTTTGGACAGTTGATGAATTTAGTGATGAGTCACCCCATTATAATCTCCATTGACGTCAGCACTGTTCCAGTGCTGGGCCTGTAATATTAAAGGACTATGATGTACTTGCTTCAATATCATTAATTATTGAGAGGAGAGTGAGGCTCTTTGTCACGACAGCAACCAAATCACATAACGGGCCCCTTATCATATATCCTTTCTATAAGGTGCATTAATCTATACCCCGAGACGGAAGTGAGACATCCCACTCCTTCATTTTTTCTGTTTCAATGCAAGCCAATGAACTCAACTCAGCAAAAAAAAGAAACGTCCTCTCACTGTCAACCGCGTTTATTCTCAGCAAACTTAACATGTGTAAATATTTGTATGACCATAACAAGATTCAACAACTGAGACATAAACTGAACAAGTTCCACAGACATGTGACTGACAGAAATTGAATAATGTGTCCCTGAACAAAGGGGGGATGAGCCTGTAGGAAGGGTACCACATGAGGGAGGAGATTGCCTGCAATGACAACAAGCTCAGTCCGATGATGCTGTGACACACCGTCCCAGACCATGACGGACCCTCCACCTCGATCCCGCTCCAGAGTACAGGCCTCGGTGTAACGCTCATTCCTTCGATGATAAACGCGAATCCGACCATCACCCCTGGTGAGACAAAACCGCGACTCGTCAATGAAGAGCACTTTTTGCCAGTCCTGTCTGGTCCAGCGACGGTGGGTTTGTGCCCATAGGCGACATTGTTGCCGGTGATGTCTGGTGAGGACTTGCCTTACAACAGGCCTACAAGCCTTCAGTCCAGCCTCACTCAGCCTA